GTGGGGGGGGGGGGGGGGGGAGGAACAGGTTTAGGGTAGAACCCTAACAAGATTAAGGGGTTTTAAGGCCACCCAAATCTGGGGAACTTTCAACATTAGTTCTGGATGGGGTGGCACTTCTTCAGACAAAAGCAGCACATAACTTGAGGGGTCCTCCTAGACTCTCACCACTGCTCAGAGAGCAGGTGGTAACTGTGACCTTTGCACAAATCCATTTTGTCCACTGTGCCCATTCTTAGATCAAGAGGCCCTGATCACAGTCACTCACACACGGGTCACCTCTCATTTGGATAACTGCACTGCGCTCTCCATGGGACTGCCCTTGAAGACCATCTGGAAATTATAGCTGCAGCACAGGTAATGATGGGTGCACCTCAATATGCCCTTGTAACACCAGTCTTTGTGAGCTGTAGTGGCTTCCAGTGGTTTCCATGTGCAATTCACCTATAAAGCCCTTCATGGCATAGGGCAAGGCTATTTGCAAGACTGCCCATCTCCAATTGTTTTTGTTCATCCCACAGGATCTGACTGGGCTGACATGCTCTGGCTTCCTTCTATTAGAATGTCATCTGGTGGGATCTAGGAGGCACACCTTCTGTCACTGTGCTTGTCCTGTGGAACAGCATTCCCCCACCCACCCAGAGATCTGGATGGCCCTGACCTTGATTTTATAAAGCACTGAACACCTGTCTCTTCCCCCAGACACTTGGCCAGCAGGTTAGGTGAGCCTCTTTTAAGTAGTTTATGTGATGAGTTGACTACGTGGTTTATTAGTTATGAATATATGACCCGCCTTTGCTGCAATATATTCTAACTGTTTTTGGTATATTGTTGAAGTGTTAGCTGGTTGTTAGCCACCCAGAGTCGCATGGCAAGGTAGTGCCCATATGAATGAATGAATGAATGAATGAATGAATGAATGAATGAATGAATGAATGAATGAATGAATGAATGAATGAATGAATGAATGAATGAATGAATGAATGAATGAATGAATGAATGAATGAATGAATGAATGAATGAATGAACGAATGAACAAACAAACAAACAAACAAACAAGCAGGTTCTATATCTGAAAACATCCCAAGGAACAGGAAGAGCATCGTGCAAAGGGGAGGGGGCTTTTGAGGAGTCGAGCTATGGCATTTCATTGATACCAGGCCAGAGGCTTGCTTCCTAGAGTAACCTTGGCACCTCGGGGCAAATCTACACTTAACACAACAAGAGTATCCAGGCTCAACCTCACACTGACAATGCGAACAGGCTTAGTGAGTTAATGTTTACAGACTGCACTGAGGATGTAATTAAAAGTGTCATCAAGCTTCCCAGAACTAGAGAATAAAGTTCTCTACAGGACGAAGAGCATCAGAAATGGAGGACAGGTAGTTCACTACCATAGTACACATACAAGCTATTACTTGTGTATGTGTTTGGTTTTATTCTATTTTTACTGTATTTTATATTGTTTTATTGCATTTTAATATTTATTGCTG